TCATGCATCCGATACAACCTCCGTAGTGTATAACATCATTAGTTAGTATTTAAAATGATCTCATTTTTTTCATGCATGGGTATAACAACACATCGTTTATTATGACACGGTATCATATGAGATATACCATTCTCTTTCTTCCTTAATCATATGCCACGTAAGCAAAATTTCCTACTCCCTTCGGGTTGGAATTTTAGTCGTCTCGTGCCTCTTCCAATGCATTAGTTCTTAGGTGAGGTGCTATGTGCATTAAAAGTGCTAGGAACTAATCTCCCCGGTGAATATGTTCTTAGTTCTTGTAGCTCAGCTTCCTACATTTTATTTTTTTTGTAGGCAATATAGAGAGCTTTATTCATATAGGTGCATTACTAGGACAATCAGCAAACAAGTTGGTCACTAAGAAGCTTGGTGTCTCGTCGAGCCAGCTATATGTCACGTTCAATGTGCAAGCATGCTTAGGATAAAGATGTGCGGGGACCGTTTCTGCCCGATTACAAGAAGATTATTAGAAAACAGAAAGTCACTAACGGGTTCTCCAATTTCTAACAGAATAGGAGCCACAATCGAGCGAGAGTTGTGGCGAGTGTTCTAGAGATCGACCATCTCCAGGCATCCCACTTCCATGATCACATGCGTTAAACCACACAATTTAGCAAACCGGGCACCTTCCCACATTGCCAACACCTGGTCTATCATTGGGTCTGAGATACTCATATGGGGCTTGCACCAAGCATCAAGTAGGCTAGTGAATGACCGAGCTACACCACCAACACCGCTGCAGTTTTCATCAAAGTTAATTGCTTTGTCGGTGTTATTCTTACTAAAACCCAATTCAGGGGGACTCCACCCATGTCCTGGTAAGACTAAAGCCATAGTTAAAGCCATAGTCCTAGGCAGTTCTAGAATCACCAAGACTTTTTTCGTCAACTTCATACATGTAGCAGGACATGATCCTCCTTCATTATGCTTGATTCGGTTTCGTGAATGCCAAACCGACCACATGATGGTAATGATTAGAACATGATCTTTATCCTTGAATCAATCATCACATAGAATGTCCCGTGCCCAAGAGTCTGAATGTAACCTTGGTAATCATATATCAAACATCGCATGGCTTCCTCCCAAAAAAACTTTGCATGAGAACAATACATGAGTGCATGTTGTAGGTCTTCGTGCATGGCTAAGCAAACCTTGCATTGGCCAAATTCAGCAATGTGTCTTCTCTTTAGTGTAGCCTCTTTAGGAAGAATCTCTCGAAAGACTTTCCATGAAAACACATGAAATTTTGGTACCACATTTAATGTCAACAAGGTCTTCCACAATTGTTGATATTCCTTGAGGTCCTAGTAGCCATCCCTTCCTCTAGAGCAAGCTGCTATGTCTGAGTCACAGGAGCACGGTATGCTGTCTTTACAATGTAGTTACCTGTTTTGTCAAAATCCTAGGCATAAATGTCACCACCTCGATATTAAAGACCACCTCCGCATCAGGAGCAATGAATGTGTCACAAATCATCTGCCGCCTCCATGTCCAATTATCATAACCAATGAGATCTGAAACTAGTCCAACATGAGTGTTAGCCGGTGTGAATAGGGATGTCATTAAAATTGTTCCTGAGATCCACTTCTGAGTCCAAACTAGAATGGAGCTCAAATACCCAACTATTTTAATAAGACCCAGCCGCAAAGCCTCCCTGCTTGATATGATCATGCATCACGTAGCTGAGGGCGACTTGGGTACATATGCTAGCATGAAAATCATAGTCTGGGAAGTAGCAGCCTTTCAAAAACCTGAGCGCACAAGGAATTTGGCTTCATCATCAAACTTCATCCATGGTTTCCAAATAAAGCTAGGTTGAATTGATGCATGTCCCAAAACCGCATCCCCCAATTGCATTTAGGGCGGATATATTTTTCCAGGAAATCCGGTGAATGCCTTTCTTGTCAAGAGAACTACTCAAGAAATATTTAGCCATTGGGGAGGTAATACTCTTACATACTTTTTGGTCAAAAGGAATGTGATCATGCTATAGCTCGGCATCGCCTGAACAACCGATTTAAGTACTTCATAACCAGCAGAAGCTAACAACTTCTCCGACCATCCTGGAATCTTACCTTGTGCTCGCTCCGAAATGTAATCAAATATTCTACTGGTAATGCGCCCGACTGCCATATGGAGCCCAAGGTATCTTTCGCTGAATGCCTCTACATTGATATCCAAGGCAATCTTCATGGCCTGCTTCACATGGGATGGCGTGTTAGAACTGAAGACAATAGTATTCTTATCTTTGTTAACACACTTCCCCGAAGCATCGGCATATACTTGAAGAATCTCATTCAAACTAACTGCACTTTGATATTTTGCAAATAGAAGGTGGCTAACCCAAGGAGATTCGTAGCTCACTCTTATTCCTCTATCAATGTAGTTGCCAGCAAGGTGAACCCTTCAACGCACATCAATAATAAATACAGTGATATAGGCCCCCCTGCCTTAATCCTCTCGAAGGTATGAAGTAGGGTAATAGCTCCCCATTGACCCTAACTCAGAATCTCGCCGAGGAGACACACTTCATAATAAGTCTCACAAAACTGGTGCTAAGCCCAACTTGATCATAATAGATTCCAGATAGTGCCATTCCACACTGTCGCTGGCCTTCGTCATATCAAGTTTTACCACACATGAATAATTTTTCCTTTCTTCCTTCTTTCATTGAATGCACGCTTTCATATGCCACAAGGACATTGTCAGTGACTAGGTGCCCAAGTACAAAAGCACTTCGTTCTTCGCTAATGATCTCCTCCATATTCTCTCACATCGATTTTGTAATTGCTTCGGCACCAATTTTATACATCACCGAACAAAGAGGAATGGGCCGATAGTGAGAGATGAATTTGGGGTGTCGTACCTTAGGAATCAAAATAATAGATGTATCATTCAAGCCCATCGGGAGGTCCCCAACATTCAAGAATCCCAGCAGCGCATTAGTAACATCGTCTTGCAAGATATCTCAGTGGCGTTGGTAGGAACCAGCCATAAACCCGTCGACGCCCAGCGCCTTGGATGTCGCCATTTGGAACAGCGCCTCCTTGACCTCCGCTGCAACAATGTCCAGTAAAGCGTTGATGCCCGGTGTAACTTTGACTGGCACGTGATTGAGCAACTCGTTTGGATCAGAGAACCCCCGCGATTCATACAGGTCCTGATAAAACGCTTGCACTTCCTCCTTATCCTCCACTTCATTAATACATGCGGTTCCATCTTGTCGTACAAGGCCCAAAAATTATTGATCCGTCTCCTTTGTGTTGCTTGTGCATGGAAATACCCGGTGTCCGGTCACCTTCATACAGCCACAACACACGTGAGCGCTGACGGGTCCACACCTCCTCCTGGAACAAAGCTTCCTTCAACTTTTTAATTGTGCACTTCTCCTCATCAGTCGGACCACGCCCAACCAAAAGAGAACGAAGCTTGTCCAACTTTTTCTAAAGTTCCCGGACAACTCGTGCGAAGCAACCTAACTCTTTTGCACCCCACGGTTCCAGTGTTCGCTGAAGATGTTGCAAAGATTGCGCCACACCTTGGAGCCCGGGAACTTATTGCCGATCTAGCCAAGTTTGCCAGACTAGCTTGTCATAATCGACATGCGTTTGCCAAACTTTCTCATAGAGGAATTGCTTCTTAGGTCGAGACTGATTTGTCACACCCTCCTTCATCTCTGCTACAACAAAATAGTGATCCAATTCAACCGACCTGATGTGTCGAACACAGGTGTACTGAACACGGGTTGACGGTTATCCCAAGTATGCGGGATACCAGTCCATCCTAGGTCCTGAAAGGAGAGATCTTCTTTAACTTTGCAAAACGCTCTCATAAAAAATATTGATGGGTTAGTATTTGGATGTAAGTTCCAATTATTTTAATTTTGCTACGTATACCATAGATTTTATTGTTATTAAATCATGGTCAAAATATGACCAAAATAGAATGGAGACTAGTAAACCACGGTCAAAATATGGTTTATTAGTTAAAATTATGATGAAAATATGACCCAAAATACGAGGGAAACTGCTAGTAACAATCATGGAGTACTCCCTCCGTCTAGGTGAGTAAGTCATCTTAGGTTGTGCACCATGACCAAGGAGGAGGGGAAAACGAGAGACCTTAATGTTTATTTGCTAATTAATAGCATTGCATGCAATGAACTAACCACTGCATGTCGTGTTTGGTACTCTCAAGTCATTAAAAGCATGCACACCCTTCATCTCTTTATTGGTTTATATGTCAAGAAACAAAAACGAGGTAGAAGTTAATGCACCGCGCCTAAGTATTTTGGGATTATTTAGTTTTAGTAAGATGACTTACACACCTAGACAAAGGGAGTAGCATTTGCGATCCTATATTTATGGCTATCCGCAGAACCACTGCATGCACGTATTGATAGCCCCTTTTTTGGGCATGGCTAGCGATGGACGCTTGCATGCAGCAGTGTAGCGGCAGCCATTTATTATTCGCTAATTATTTGTTGCATGCCGAACGTTACCGAAAATTACGCTCGCGATAGTTAATGTGCATTTTGGTCGCAGCGAGTTGGTTCGCCCGACTGAAATACCCGGCCGGGGATATTATCTCACTGCAGGCTGCAGTGCCATGCACCGGAGACGTTGACACGGACGGATCGTGCTCCTTTGTCCGCGCTGAGAAGCATGAGATGTCATATCGCAGCACCGAAATCTACATCCAAATGAGGCACCTTTCGTCCAAAAAGTTCAAAATGACACAATCTAATTAGCCTCACTGATCTTTCAATCACCAAGTCGGTGGCAGTCCTGATACCACCATACGAGCGGCGCGAGGCCCCAAGCGCCTATAAATAGCGGGCACCGAAGCAGCACAGCCATCACCAAACCATAGCCATCGGGACTTCTGAAGTGCAAAAACTTCAGCCCTAACGGAGCTCGGTTTCCGAGAAACATATACTACCAATCCCCATCTAGGTCGAGATGTCTTCTGTGTCAGGGAGCTCATCCCGCGGCGGCGACGACGCGGCGTGGAGCGCCAAGGAGAACAAGCTGTTCGAGGAGGCACTCGCCTACCACGGCGAGGGCACGCCCGACCGCTGGCTCAAGGTGTCTCGTGCCATGGGCGGGACCAAGACGGCGGACGAGGTGCGCCGCCACTACGAGATCCTCCTGGACGACATCAAGCTCATCGAGTCCGGCATGGTCTCGTTCCCCAAGTACAAGGACAACACCCAGGGGCCTTGGAACTGATTCCTCATGGTAACCAAAACTCAGCCTGATTCTCGTCTCATGTTTACTACAAATATACTAGTGTGACGTGTCAGATCCTAGCTCAAAGCTATACTGATCTCATTCACTTGTCATAATAAGGTGATCTGTGCCATAGTTAGGTTGACGTTGCCAATTGACAACGAAACAGCAAAGGAATGTCAGTGATGTCAATTCCTTTGCTGTTTCTGCTCGAGATGCACTGCAAGAATTACTCTGCTTGCACAATTTGTCTATTACACAAGCAAAGCGGATCCGGCACATAATTTGAGCCTGAACAAGGAGCCCAGAACACAGCATCTTTGCCTGCATGGATCCGCCAATCTGCTTTCTGTCAGTTTGTACTCTTTAGAGTGTTAAAAAAAACATTCTTTAGGGGCAAAACTATAGGTAACCCTTGAGGAGGCAGCTCTGCATGTCCCAAACTCCCAATTACAGAGCATAGATAAGAAACCAATGCACACGAAACCAATGCAAAGATCTGCTTGCCCGGTTCTCAATTTCAGAGCTTGAGACGAGTTAACTTACAGGATACATCTTTCTTTTTGTTTTTTCAGGAGCGAAGCATCTGAATTCCGAAGATCTGGCAATCAGGAGAACCTGTTGATAATCTAGTCCTTAGCTGGGACCATGTTACTGAAGCAATAAAAAGAAGAAAACATGTGTGTTTGTGTTTGTGTTTGTGTGTGTAATTTTAGGTTTGTGAGCAAATCAAGTGCGCCTAGTCTTGCAGACAGTAGCATGTAATCTTCATTGCCTATACTTAGTTTTTACTCCTCCGCTCCTCCCCAATATGTTCTGGAGTAAACATCAGTGTTGTAAATCCCCAGTACTTGTTTGCAGTGTTTATGAACCTGTGCTTGTTACAATATACATGCTTAGAGGGTGCTTGGATACAAGGGACTATTTTTAGTCTGACTAAAAATAGTCTCTTTTAGAGGCTAAAGTTCCAAGCACCCCTGACTAAAGAGAGGCTAGGACTAGTCTTGAGGCTAAAATCTTTTAGTCATGGGAAACCTACTAAAATATGTATTAGCTCTCTCTCTCCTCATTTAATTCCTCTCCTTAGTTCTGGATTGGAGGGTTTGAAGGATAATAAATGCTCAATAACTAGATTTTAATCTCTTTAGTACTTGGATCCAAGCATGTGTGAGACTAGCAAGTTTTAGTCCCACTACTTTTAGTCATGGGACTAAAACGTATCCAAGCATGCTCTTAGTCTATCAGCTGGCTCAACACTAGGATGTTTACATTTGCACACATGCTTTCCTTACTGATGTAGAACCAAGTCCTAATTGTTGCCCAATTTTCACAATTTGGATATGGAGTTGAGGACAATGTCAAATAACACAAGGAACACAAGAGGACACTCAAGAGAACAATGTTTGCACCACAAGTTTACTCAAATCACAAGCAAGGAGAGATACACCTCAAATCCAACAAACAACAAAGGTAGAGGTAAATAGGTAGGGTTCTTTCCAAATCTCTAGGAAAGGTGGAGTCTTGAGAGGTAATTCTTCCTCGGTCCAAAGGATATGGAGGTCTTGGTAATCCACAAGGGATTCTTCTCTTAGAAGGAGGTCTTGATCCTCTAGAGGAGATAAGATGAGCAAAGCATAATCTCCGGATCAGCCTATGGCATAGTGTTGGTCATATGACTCTTCGCTGCAGATATGTCGGGTTTTTTTTGTTTCTTTTTGCCAGACTTTTGGTATTGGCTGTGTGCATCTTAACTATGTAGAGCCTGGGTGTTGCTCATTATGCTTTGTATCTGCTTGATGCTACATTTCGAGTTTAATAAAATCGCCCTTTATCAGGGGGAAAGGAGGAGATAAGATGAGCAAACCTCTCTCAAGATCTAATTTAATGCTTTGCTCACCCTAAAAAGTGTAAAGGGTGTGTACTATATAGTTTCTGAATTTAATGCTTTGCTAACCCTAAAAAGTGCAAGGGTGTGTATTATATAGTTTTTGGAGGTATGAGATGAGGATAAGGATACAAGAGACATTTCCCCTCAAAGCTCATAGGCAAGGTTGTGTGCACGGAGTAAAGGGGATCGTGGGCACAGGGCCATGTGGAACGTGGTATCCAGAGGCTATGCGACGGGTCCCGTGTGCACGGGGTGTCCAGATAGTTTATGGGGTACCCCACGCATTACTAGTGTCCTGTATCCCATGGGCAAAGAGTGTCCAAAGAGCATCTTCATGTTTTCATTCTCTGGACACCTTCCATACTTCCTTCTCGCTCCTATTGATGGACTCGACGTTCCTCCATCACTTCATCGTGGTGATCATCGTTGTACATAATCATGGGTAGGGTTCAATTTTGAGGTAGTTGCCAAGTATCATCCAAATGTATAGGGAGGTTAACTAGGAGTTAATTCACCTTGGTTTTCATGGCACGTTCACTAGCTCTTGTCAAGGGTCCTCTTGAATCTGGTGGAATTAATGGTGGGTCCATGGCCTGCTCAGCACCATCTCTCCCTACCTCTCCCTAGGAAGATTCATCGTTAGATCAAGATTCTCATCGTTAATGTGTCACTCACCAAGCACCTGTCCATTGTGCTACAAAAAATGACATAATTGTGATGATACTCGATTGTCACACTAGGTCCCATTTTTAATTAGCGATGTACATCCGTGACGGTTTTATGACAGAATTGAGATAATCATACATCTTGAAGGAAATATGCCCTAGAGACAATAGTAAAATTATTATTTATTTATTTATATCATGATAAATGTTTATTATTCATGCTAGATTTGTATTAACCAAAAACTTAGTACATGTGTGAATACATAGACAAAACATAGTGTCCCTAGTATGCCTCTACTTGACTAGCTCGTTAATCAAAGATGGTTATGCTTAATTGGGATTGAGTTGGAGGAACCTTCTCAATGTTTAACAACCACCAAGATAGTTAAATAAAATTTATTCCTTTGTTGTAGGAAAAAATGGATTTATGCAAAAACAGTAACCATAGAGCTTTTCACCAGCCATACATGCATGTAGTGATAACATTTATTCTGTTCATTACTCTCTTGTGTTACATTGCCAGCATATTCCATGTGCTGACCCGTTTCGGGCTGCAACGTTCATGTTGCAGACTTTTCAGATGACGAGTAAGGTGCCATTGGTCGTTGTCTTACACTCAGTGATGTCGTTGGAGTTGATGGACTCACTTTATCTTCCAAGTCTTCCGACGTTATCGATTTTAGATGGCCTTAAGCCATATTTATTGTAATAAGTTCTCTTTTGAGATATTCGATGTAATAAGTGTGTGATTGCTACTTTGTTATAAATCCTCAAGTATTGTGCGTGTCAGCATTACCGATCCAGGGATGACACTGATGCACAGAGATCAAACTGTTTGAGGTCTGGTCGCTACAAGATAGTATCAGAGCACACGCTGACTATAGGACACGACCACTAAACTAAAGCCCTAGATCACCACTCTCTTCTCAACTCCTCTCCCTTTTCTACTCTTTAGGATGGCGGATGCAAGGAACAAGTTCACTGAACTGGATGAAGATACACCTTTTGGACACCACTTGAAGGAAGTTACTAGGTACCTGAACATCGGAATACCAAGCTTCACCAGGACCTACATTGCCACTTTACCATAAGAGGAGTGTTGCATGATTCGAGTTCAAGTTCCAGGAAGGACGTTCATGCCAGTCACTAAGCTCATAGAGTTTTCCTTTGACGCACCAACCTGGAGTCTAGGAAAGAGTATGGCAGCCCACATCACCATGGGACGCATTGGAGAAGTTTACCACAAGGATCTCAAGGATACCATCTACCAGATTTGTGGACGCTGAGATGAGCAATGGGATATGATTAGCACCAGGAAGGATAGATCTATTGCAGCTTTCATCTAGGAGTTAAACCAGCACATTCGTCGCCAGGAGAACCAGATGTGCGCAGGCATGATAGATCTGAAGAAGGCAATGACCAGGATCACGGAGCTGGAGGAAGAGCTCAATTCTACACACGATGGATATGAGGAGGAAATGACGATACTCGTGGAGAAGAATGATGATCCGATCAAGAAGCTAGGAGTATTCATGGGAGACCCCGCGCCAGGAGGAGAAGACGACGATTCCACTTGCCCGGAGAACTACATCATCATCGACGACACCAACTCGGACCCTAATGATAGCGATGATGACTATGTTGATGAAGCTGGAGTAGATATCATGGAGTCTTCCACCGATCAATTTTTCTAGTCGACCACCATATTAGTAGTAGTATTCCCCATGTATATAGTATAGTCCGAGCACTTACGTAACGATAGTTAGACTGATGTATGCCCTTGTTTGAATTGATTGAAGTGATATGTTTGTGTTTGTCTCATGTGCATATGGGTAGTGTTTTCCCTCTACACCTCATTCTATTCTGTTTCTCATCTTTTCTAAACCCTCATATGCCTCCGAGACACGACAATGGATTTGCTTTCCCACCGGAGCTCACTCAGTTGATCCAGCAGCAGAATGCATTGATGCAGATACTAGTCCAGAATCAGAATCAGGGGAACAACAACAACAACAACAACAACAACAACAACCCACCACCACCACCACTTATTGATCACTTAGCCCGTTTTCTAAGGCTGAATCCGCCGGTGTTCTCTAGTAGCACCGAGCCGATTGTTGAAGATGATTGGCTCCGCAAGATTGGAAGGGAGTTGACCACTGCAGGATGCACAGATGCGGAGAGAGTGCATTTTGCGGCACATCAGCTTGATGGACCCACAACATCATGGTGGGAGAATTTCACAGCCACTTACCCCATCGACACTGTCACATGGGACCAGTTTCAGCAAGATTTTCGCACTGCCCATGTTTCAGCAGGAGCTATGGCCATGAGAAGCGCGAGTTTCGCAACTTACGCCAAGGAGGACGCACAGTTGGCCAGTATGTGGATGATTTTAGTAAGTTAGCACGTTATGCCCCAGATGACGTCGCTACAGATGCAGCTAA